GAATATTACATAACAAATATCAGTTTTTTACGAGAATCATAAAAATGAACATAAAATCTTTACAATTACTTTGAAAGACAACAATTATAGAAAATAAGGGTCCTTGAAGCATCTCAAAGGCAGAGTTTGTAAATTTATGATAATACGCGTTTGTGGCAACAAATCATAGAGCAAGGATGCGTGGGCGCAGCCCTATTATCGCTCAGAGTTTGTTAGGTCTGACTGAGATATGGAATTTCAAGATAATTGTGTAGACAAATGTTAAGTAAATAACCCATAGGAATGCTCTCGGTCGATTATTTTTGGATGATAATAAAAAAATTAGTGACAGTTATGTCAAATCACTATTAATAAGTTTTACGTTTTGTTTTGTTTTCAGTGCGTTGGGTTATTGATGTTAATTGAACGTGTGTGTTTAAATATGAACCTTATTGCGATAATATTTGGCCTATACTAACTTTTAAACTTTCGCGTTCCATGATAATTAATATTATTTAACGGGAATTAACGCAATCTCTTATTTAGGGTATTACATACCTCCACCGGCACCGGCCGTGCTCACAGGCTGACTCAGCCTGTGACCACGGCCGGTGCAACCTGGTCGAAACGTCAGGCAAACCAGAGGTATGTAATACCCTAAATAAGAGATCGCGTTAATTCCCGTTAAATAATATTAATATTTGGCCTTTTGATATACACATATACACATACACACACATATTTAAGTATACATAATTTTGTGTTTAAATCAATGCATCCTAGAGTTTATTTTATCATCACACATTTTTGTGTTAAAATATGGAGGTGTGGCATTATTTGCTTTAAGAAAGATTCCGAACACAACTATCTGTAAACTAATTATTTGACACAATCAATTTTATTTTTTTATTACTAGCTTTTATCCGCCGCTCCGCCCGCGTTTTGTCGTTAATCGAGGTAAAAAGCCTGGCCTATGTCCTTTATCATGAATCATACTATCTCCATACCAAATTTCATCTGAATCGGTTATTGATTCCCCATACAAAATGCCACCCTCCTTTTGACCCCCTTAAAGGATGATTTCAAAGGATCCTATGTCCTTTCCTTTGACTCAAACTATCTCTATACCAAATTTAATCTAATTCGGTCCAGTGGTTTAGGCGTGAAGAGGTAACAGACAGACAGACACACTTTCGCTTCTACAATATTAGTATGGATTATAACTTCCTTATTTATTTCAGTGGACTTATTGAAGCCGTATTAGAACGTGATGTTATTCCATCTAAAAAAGGTTTCCATTCCCATGGAAGGTTGGCGTTAAGCAGGCAGCCGGACTTACACGTTGCTATGTTACCCTTTCTATTTAGGGTCCTTCGACCCTAGATAAAAAGGGGAAAGAGACAAAAATGATTATGGTGATGATGGTTGTTCATTTATTTTTTTGTTAACGTGATGGAAGATCCTCATGGATGTCCTTCGCTCAGTGGGGGATGGCGAAGGGTCTGTCGGACTCTTACCGACTAAAAACCACCTCTCCTTGCCAATGGCCGGGGGAGCGAGAATCGTAACTGCATTCTTCCCCTCAACTTTTACAACAATATCTAACTGGGTTTAGGAGATCGATTCCAGTATGTGTTTACAGATATATGTGCCCGGCAATATCTTTGCCACTTATTGCGTAGGTGGTACTAAAATTATAATCAGTAAAATGTGGGCGTCTATACCCCTTTAGGGATGAAGACGTGAGTATATTTATGTATGACTAGCTGACTCGCGCAACTTCGTCTGCGTCTCTCAATAGTAATAAATTTTCTCCGTTTTTGAAACATTCTTTATTGGTGCTCCGCTCCTATTGGTCGTAGCGTGATGATATATAGCCTATAGCCTTCCTCGATAAATGGGCTATCTAACACTGAAAGAATTTTTCAAATCGGACCAGTAGTTCCTGAGATTAGCGCGTTCAAACAAACAAACAAACAAACAAACTCTTCAGCTTTATAATATTAGTATATAGATATGCTTACGTGAGCCATATTTGTTTAGGAAAGGGTAAAAAAATATTTTTTCATGTATTAATAAATATACTTTATAGAGTTCTGTCGCCAGAACGTTTTTTTGTCCAACTTTTTATCCATACTAATATCATAAATGCGAACTGTATCTATCTGTAAACTCTTCACGCATAAACCGCTCAAAAAATTTAGATGAAACCTTGTATAAAAATAGTGTGATTACCGGGAAAGGACATAGGATAGTTTTTATCTCAGAAATCATCTTTTGTGGTGGTGAAAAGGGGGGTGGAAGTTAGTATGGGGAATCAATAACCGCTGAACTAATTTACATGAAATTTGGTATATAGTTTCTACCGCGATAACCGGGTGAAGTCGCGGGCAAAAGCTAGTGAAAATAAATTAAAACCGATTCAAAATTCTAAACTCCGGTTTCCATTCATAAATCGACTGCCTCGCTTCTGTTAACCCTAACTTACCAGTAGATATTATTATAACCACTAGTTAAACTAATTGATTTATGACACGACATCGCTGTCCGTTAATTATCATTTATGACTTATAAAGTTTTACGCTCCGGCCGTGGCACATCCATCATGCATTGATGAGTGGGGAAAGTGGAATGGCGGAGATTACTTTAATATATATATATATATTTAAATTTTCTTGACGTTAAATAACTAAAGGTATTCTCGAACACTAAATGCTATTACTTAAATTATTACAGGAAGAATTAAAAATAAAACAATATTTTTTTTTGTTGGTTAATGTAAGCTTCATTTAGATTTTTATAGCTGGCAAGAATTGTTTTTTTTTAATATTATTTTTTTGAATTTTGTTTCATGTGAAAAAATATTTTTTAACAAGTCACTGTTTTCACAGCAATATCTTTTGTATATAATCTCCTAAACCCAGTTAGATTTTGGACTTCTCGCTTAGAAGTCAGGTTCACTTATTACTGAACCAAATAGCATAAAGGTGGTAGTCTCATAAAATTTAGTCTAGTAGACTATTTAAGAGGTTGCTTGTTTGTTTGCGTAACAAGAGAAAATAGTAGTTTTTTTGAAAAAAATGAACCGTACAGAGCTTTTTCTTGGTACAGATTATTTTTTATTGTCAAGAGTCGTAGCAGGTAGGCAACTGTGCGTACTTTAGAGTGTACTACTCCTCAGGATGGATTGAAACCTTCCCAAAAAGGTGTGATCAATCACCAGAAGTTTAGGGGTTATGGTATTCTTCAGGTAAGCCTCCGCAAATTACTTGACGTTGGAAACACCGTAGGCTGTTCGCGGGTGTACTACGACCAGATTTAGTATACTCGGAGATTCGTCTTATTAAATTAATAATAATAGTTAAAAAAAATTTTTTTAATAAATTAAAAAAAAAGATTGGGGTGCTTTTTACTATTGACAACTACCCAACGTTTTTTTTTTCAAATTTATTTTCTATTTTTTAATTTAGTTTTCTATAACAAGCTTGTTTTATAGTTTTTTTGAAGTTTTTTTTTTTTATTTATACTTATGTTTATTTTAAATTAGTGTATTGTCATCGGTCCTCGATATATCTACAAAGTTTAAACGAATTAAAGTCAGTCAAAATCACGCCCAAAGGAATCGGTTTTTACACGCTTTTTATTAGCTTCACCTGTATGTTACAGGTGAAGCTAATAAAAAGCGTGTAAAAACCAATAGCATCGCATTATTTAGTTAAACAATATCAGATTTAGTATTAATTGGGATAGGCCTCTGTTGCTATCACCTATACTGTTTAACCATCTTACATTTTTAAAAGACTTAAAATGGAGGAGTATTTCAATTCGATTATATTTTCTTTAATTGGAAAATTATTTTTATATTTCTCTCTCTCTCTCGTTTGGTTTAATTCAAAATAGAAGAAAAATACAAAAATTCAATATAAAGAAATGATTAGTACAATAGTTTATTATAATTCACTAGCTAGTGCCCGCGACTTCGTTCACGTGGAATTTGCCTGGTCCGGGAATCGAACTCACTAAGAGTTCGATTCCCGGACCAGGCAAAATTTTATAGGTGTTTTCTGAGAGAAAAAATAGCCTAAGTTACTCCTTATATAGACAGGTACTTGGTAGTAAAATATTATCAAAATCGGTCCAGCCGTTTTGAAGATTACCCGGAACATACAGACAGACAGACAAAAATATTTAAACTGGTTTTTAGGCATAGGTATCGTGCCGTGTAAGCATGAAAAAAACCTATTATTTTGACATTACAAACAGACACTTCAATTTTATTTATTTGTATGTACAGATTATTATTTAATACGGTGAACGACGGTGACGGTACTTCTTTGAAAGTTAAATATCTAATATTGAAAGCATTAATTGATTTAATTATTCTTTATAGCCTAGAGCTGAATGAACTAAATGAACTGAATCTAGTGTTGATACAACATCACTACAAGTTCGCTAACGACGCTTTAACAAATTTAATAAAAGACAATTTATTTTATTTTTTAAATTTGCATTTTTAATTTGTGTTTGTTAGCTTTGCTTACGGTAAAAGTATTTAAGTCGCAGGATAGCCAATCAATTTTAATTTGCATATCAAAACTCTTTTAAAATTTGTTTCTAAACGATCGTTAGCTAACAAAATTTTACAACCCAGACATAACTCATAGTGGATGTCATCCGTATATTAAAAATAACGAAACTGAATACTAATAGGCAATTTAGTTGGTAATATTTTTTAGAAGTTCGCACCTTTAATAACAAGGCATATTATTTATTTAAAGAACGATTTACAGGTGAAGTAAAGAGTTTATCTAATTTAAAATCATCTCATGAATTCTTCTATTCATAAAGATATTCACAATCATAGACGCTCTGTAAAAGTGTACCCATTATAATAATAGCTTATTCAATCCTACACACGTGATATTTCATTGATCGATATAGAAAATGGGTTCCACAATAAAAAACACATTCCTTAACATTAAGACTGTCATTTTATTTTAGTATAACTACTATTTTTATATTTATAAATCGGGATATGTTAATTTTATGCTTCCATAAATTAATAAATGCTTAGTCTTGTTGTGAAATATGTTACAAGGAAATGAAATGTTCATACCTTTGCATTCGTTGGCGTCTCTGGCCGTCGCTCGTCCCCACGGCCGGTCGAAGTGGAACGGCTTGCAGCGCTCGCAGTCTCTCCCAGCAGTGTTGTGCTTACAGTCGCAGGTCAGCTGCTGCACACCACCACTACCCGCCTCGCTGCCCTTCATAGGAATGCACCTCGAAGCATGACCGTTACACTTGCACCGCCCGCCCACGGCAAAGTCCGAAACCGCGTAATGCTGACTGCCCGGAGCCGCTTGCTTCTTGTTATCAACATCATCACCTTCGTTAACCATGTGTAGGCGGTTGAACACTACCCGCACATCAGTAGCAGTAACCCAGTCTTGCAAAACTGGAGATATATCAAAGCTAGCAGCGCTTGGACGTCCTTCGAGAGTGCTAAACGCCAGTCGTGCGCCTCCGGAGCTTTCGCCAGTTAATCTATGACTGTCTGAACATCTAGCCTCTTGTTCGTTCGCAGCGGTTACAGTAGCTTTATTCGGTCTGCCGTATACCCGTCTGCATTGGCTGGAATAGAACTGGAAGGGTTGCCAAGTCACGCCGTAGTCAGCGCTCTTGTAAATCGCAACGGAGTCGGGACGAGCCGCTTTCGGGCAGAATTGAAGACTCACGTAAGTCAACTCATACTTCTTTCCGAGGGATAGAGTAAGAGAGACATTGTCAGGAGGAGAATCGTAAGCAGTCGGAGGGATCGGTGCGGATCTCCAGCAGGTAACATCGTGAGGGTTGTTCAAGTCGGTTAGGTGGGTCGGAGGGTGTCGTCGGTCGGATCTGGCGGCATCACAGACTCTGCAAGCATTCTCGGCTGGTTGGTCTCCGGGTGGGTCACAGAGGCGTTCGGGGCCTCGTCTTCCGCAGATAGAGGATGCGACGACGGGGGCGCCGAAAGCCGCGTTAACGAAGTCGGGGATGCAGCGGCGCGGGCGGCCGTCCTCGTAGCAAGTATCGGGTGGGGTGGCAGCGAGCGCTAAGGCCGCGGTGGCAAGCAAGGCCACGACGCGGGCGGGCATGTTCACTCACTGTCACAATCACTCGCGTAAAGTTTCCGAGTAAGGGCGCGTACAACAGCACGTGCGCACCGGTTGAAAGCCGGCGGCGGACTGGCGGGGCGGCGGAGCTTCACAGCTTCGGCGTCCGGCGGCCGCACGCAATAAGCGACTATCGCGCTTCCAGTGAAAGTTTTGTATTTTTAATATCGTGAAAGATTTGATTAGATATTAGATTGGTATAAATTACAGCGCATTGTTGCAACGATATCATCATCAACAAGCCTCTCTTTGTTTGTTGAACAACTGTGTTCATTTCCATGATTGAAAGCCTTAGCTATCATTTTGAATACTTAAATAAATAGCAATCATTATGAAAGCAGGTTATAGCTTAGGATCCATTTAAACGTTTGTGAAATTCAATTGTTTGGACAACACCTTTCTTTTAAGAAGTTATTTATACTGTTTTAGGGTGTGTGGTCTCACAATAGGGACACGGGTGATCGTCAGACGCTTTTATTCGTCTGTGAAAGAATGGCACGCACCCATCGTACATACCTGAGACTAATTCATAACTTAACCCCCTGAGCTTTCGCTCAGTCGTTCACTCGTTCGTACATTCAGGGTTCCCCATGGCTCAATTGGAAAAGGTTGTTGTTTTTCGCCGTTCTTATGATGTTTGAGTTTTTTTTATTATGTTGTGGCGCGTTTTATGGAACTGTTTGTGTTTAAGAGATCATTATACGACTATTTGTGTAAAACGAATTTATTTTGCTTTTATGTTTTGACCTATGAGTTTTTACTTGGTGTAAAAAAAAAAAATGATTTATGGTATCGATTATTATTGTTACCGGTATTACTTAAAAGAGACAATTTGTGTGTAAATCATATTTTATCTCTAAAATTCTAGGACCTAATAAAAACCAAGAATTAGAAAAAAATAAATTTGATTAAAAATGGTTTTATCTTCTGTCATTTCATTAAGTATTCATCACGATCAGGACAGATAAATCACTCTTTATTTGTCCATCCAAAAATTGCCTTTAAGAGATAGCTTATAAGGCTGATAAAAGAAGCACGGGAAGTCCAGATGTAATATTTTTTTAAGTCAAATAATTTTTTGTTAATTCGTATTGTTTTTAACCTTCTAAGTTCTTGCAACACTGTCTAGTCTCCTGTCACTCATAGGCTCAAAATAGGTACCTACCTACATGCTTGCAGCATGCATTAAATGAGCGGCTAATCTGCTAATGTAATATATGTTAGTGACCCTATTAATTTGCTTAGTACCATTCTGCTGGTGCCTTTGGTGAGTGTTCTCATATTGGCGACGTACAAATGGAGTAAGACATTACTTATAGTTTACTTAGTATTACATTTACTTATAGTGTCATCTAGCGAATACAGGCACAAACTATGTAGTAGCTACTGATTCTACATCGCGCTATGAAAATGTATATTTACTAATTACGAGTAACTTTAAAAGATCGACAGGAGATCTTTTCTTGATTGCCTTGGTGGTGCAATGGTAGCGTACGCGACTGCTGTGCCGAGGTCTCGAGTTCGATTCCCGGGTCGGACCAAATGTTCGTATGATCTGCAAATATTTTTTCCAAAAAAAAAGATCTCGTTACAACAGTACTCCTAGTGGTGAATAGTTTCATCAGACCTTCATGGCACCAGTTTTTAGTATATTTTAAAAAAAGCTCGGAATATGCACCACCATACATTTAACCAAATATTCTTAGAATTCTGTATCCAATTTTTTAAAATAAACCTTGTTTATCAAAAATAGTTTTTACCATTAGGTAATCTGTTTAGACACAATAGTATTTACTTACCAAAATATTTAAAGGAATTTTGATTACGGGCGACACTATCCGTTGATTGCGAGGGACTGTACAAATATAAATATGGACACACAATCAAAACTGAGGGAAAATATAGCTCTAAATATGTCTCTCAATGTCTCTCTCTCTCTCTCTGTCTCTGTCTTTTATATGAATGATTGAGCGATTGAAATAATACCAATCGTTTGGTAAAAATTAACCACGATCGGTCTAATTTGGTCGTAAATTCGAGAGAAAAAGAGATTGCTAAGCCAGAGGTCGTGGGTTCGATTCCCACCCAGGACAAATAATGGTGTAACGAGCACGATCATTTGCTCTATGCCTGGGTGTTATTTATTGATAATATATATGTATTTAGAATTATATAAGTATGTTTATTCGTATTAAATGTGACTGCTGTGTAAGATGTGTGTAGTTATTATTCTTATTGTTTAATATTAAGCAATAACAATAATAACTAACACATGGGTACAAGACGAAACAATCTAGAATCCAAATTATATACATATATATACAAATAAATAAAATTAAAGTGTCTATTTGTAACGTCAAAATAATAGGTTTTTTCATGCTCACACGGTTATTTGCACGATACTTATACCTGAAAAACTAGTTTCAATATTTTCTGTCTGTCTGTCTGTTTATTAGAGGTAATCTTCAAAACGGCTTGACAGATTTTGAAAATGTTTTACTACCGCGTATCTGTCTATATGGAGTAACTTAGGCTATTTTTATTCTCAGAATAACCTTATAAAATTCTGCCCGGTCCGGGAATCGCACTAGAGGCTTTATGGACTGCAGTCGCCTACCGTACTACAAAACTAAGGCAGAAGAAACCCCCTAGTCTCCAATAAAAAAGAAACTTATACTTTTACGACTTTCATCCATCCAGCCATCTAGCATCATAAAGTTTTGCCTTATCTATTTATAAATATATAAAAATTTCAAGTCGGTTTGTGTACCCTTCAAAAACTCAAAAAGTTCTGCATTTACTGAACTCAAATTTCGACACGATGTACAACATTTTTGTTTCTTATTCCTCAACAATGCAATCGCAATGTGCACAGCGAAGTGAGGCAGGGTACAGCTAGGTATTATATTACCTTTCAGCACGATAAAATACTACAGACCTGCATACTTCTAAGGAACGAAAATACCGTCTTTCTTGTCAATTTAAACGCACTGATAGCGTAGTGGTGACTTTGTGTGATCTACAAATTGTTGTTACTTTTGTTTGGGTGTTCTTTGTTTCCGTTTCATGAATGTTTGTAAAGCGAAACCACAGGAAAGAGCAGGTTCTCTTTAATCTGTAAATGACATCAAAAACTAATTTCATCACACATCAACAGCCTATAATAGTCCACTGCTGGACATTAGAAATGTATATTAATAGGTATATGCCGGTTCACGTCAATAGGCTTGTCTCTATTACGTAAATGGGACTAAAAATCATCATCATCATCATCAACAGGCTTTAATAGTCCACTGGTGGACATAGACCTCTCCTTAGAAAGCAGGTTATGGCCTACTATACCACTCTGGCCGGACGGGTTGGTATAGGGTTTGTGTCAAGTTTCCCTTCTCTTTGCAGTGCTGTTGTCCTGCGTAGTTTGCTCCCTTAGTCGGCTCTTACGACACCCATTGGATGAATAGGGGTGGTGACACTCTGTATTCTTAGTCCGTCACCACGGCAAAACTAACGTCCATCAAAACTGCACGGATGGCGTAGTGGTTTAAGCGGTCGCCACGCCGCTTCCTACTACGCCGAGTGTTGTGGGTTCAAACCCCACATGGGACGACACTTTGTGTGATCCACAAATTGTTGTTCTGAGTCTGGGTGTTCTTTGTGTTTTCATGTATGTTTGTAAAGTCCCCCGCGACACAGGATTTATTCCTAATGCGGGCGTTGTCTTTTTAAAAAACAAAAAAAAAAACTACTTCCAATATTTCACGATCAAAGGTTACACGAACCACAAATATACTTTACAACTTTGTTATTAACTTTTAAATTGCACAAAAACAATTATAAAAATGATCCCATTGACATTATTAGCGTATATCAATACATGTGTCTGTGCGTTGTTGCAATAAATTATCGGACAGATCCCTGTGACAGGTTTTATGGGCAATCAGAGCAGATAATGTACACAAGGCGACTGGTTGTCCAGCGTGGCCAGTGAATGAGTGATTCATGCCGACCACCTCAACGAGTGCAGCCATCTTAAATATGTCCATTTGTAAGTATAATCCTTCAAGTGAAGAGAGTAAATATAAATCGGCAAAGCCAGTTCGAATCACACATATGTATGTATGTACACGACCTTGAGACCTTGAGACCTGCTCAAGTTATTATAAATAAAAAATATCTATTTTTAATACCTTCCCTTCATCTAGCCTTTCCCAATTTACCCAATTTTAACTACTATTTTCTATTTACAATTTTAACTAAACTAATCAGACAAGTTACCTGATAGTAGGTGACTAGTGACGCCCAATGACATATGCATTTCATGAGAAACAAGTAGTTCCCCCCCCCCCCCCCTCCCTTTTTGGCCGCATTGGGCTCCGGTGACCTCATTCACTAGGGGAATAAAAAAGAAAGAAAAGGTTAGAAACGGTTTTCTGTCTGTCTATCACGTGGAATAAGCAAAATGCCAAAGGATAGTTCTCCCACTCTTCTCCCTACCCCGTTGAAGAGACAGGCATGTATGTAGGACTCTTTAAGGTAGAAAGAAAAATACCAGCTATGTAGCATACTTTAGTAAAGTTTTAACCTGTAATGCATTTCAAAATATAACGTTCATCATTTAACCATAGCGTACTAAATGAACCCAAACCAACATAATGCAAAACTACACCTAGAAAAGCTATAAATGTTGGCCACAGGTGGTGCAGCAGAACATTTAATACCCTTTAGAAGCTAATCTAATACGCAATAAGCGCAATACCCCCGAGGTACGCGAACACAGTTTATATTTGTGTTCAACAAAGTAATACTGAATAGGTTCAAATGCTTGGCTAGTTTGAGTGCACGCAACGCGTTTTGATAAATTTATATGAAAACTAAACCTCCACTGTGTCAGAGCAGTCATTATAAAAGTATCTCACACATCTTACACACGGCCGTCTGATCCTAAACTGTAACCAGACTGCTGGTAAACGTAATGATGTCTG